GATCTTTGGCAATGCTGCAGTATCAAAATTTACGCCTTCAGAAGATCTTGCCAACACATTTAGATTGAAATTCTTGCAATCTTGCATTTAATATAGGTATTTGTCAGTCTTTGGCCAACTATTTAGAAAAAAGTAAGGTTTCCAGTACATTGGATGGATCAGGATGCAGTGAATCTTGTCTGGAAATCAGTTGCAATGAGTTCCCGCCAAAACAACAAATATAAACAAGTTTACGATTGCGTAGTTGCGGTCACCCGGTCACATTAGAGCGGTCAGACTGCATTATCACATGTTGAGTTGACACTTGCTGTACAATCAGACTGTTTTTAGGGTAAAATTAGTTATTTGGGGTAACATGTGCATGCAACCTTGTAAATAAGTTTGTGCCTTGTAAATAGTTTTTCATTACTCAGCGTAAATGGCTTTTTGTTAAGAATTACCTGGCGATGCATCTTGAAAAGGGTTGGCAACACTTTAGGCTTAAAAACTCATATATTGGTGATGCTGCTTCCACCCTCTGCAACCTGGTCTGCATGCTTCAAATATTTTAAAATTGAGTTTTATCTCAAGTGTCCCTAATTACCCCATTTCCAGATTAATTCAGGAGCCTTTTATATTGCGTCTAGCACCTTACACATAGCATTTAGAATTTTTTTGGATATGCCATATGATAGCCCTTGCAAAGACCTTTAAAATGAGCCCAAACTTGTTTATGAAATGTTTCATGGTAAGAAATTATTAACAAAAAATGCTCAAAACCTTCCCTTTTTTACCTTGTTTGATGGTACTTCTACAAACTACTAAGTACTTACTACTTACTGAAAATGAACATCTAACACCTAACAGACTAAAAGTCCTGAGACCTGACTCCTGGGTTGCCTGTCCATGCACAACATAGCAGGGTATTGCAGCATTCTTTTTTAAAAATGGTATTGAAGGGTGCAAATTATTTCTTTATCTATTTATAGTGAAAATTTTAATGAAATAATAAACTGCCTGAGGCTGAGGCCTGAGCTGAGCCATCCATGAGGTCAAGGCTCCCATGTGGTATTTTCACTTCCCCGACACAGGATTGGAATTTTATGATAGTCCACTTTTTTTCTGAAATCTTGCAGCTCCAATGTGACAAATTTTTAATACAATTGGAATCTCGTGGCCCAATTGAATTGGAGCCACTTTTGTTAACAATTAGATAAGAGGTGATTCTTCTGGCACAAATCTCACGGTTCCAGAAATGGCGGGAAAGCTCTAATCTTCGCCCTAAAGGTAGATGTTTTCCATGCTTGCCCCAACAGACGTACTAAATTTTTGTACATGTTGGAGTTACCCTATGGCAGATGAGTGCAGATATTTGGGTAACTTTTGGGTTAAACCAAGTGCTGCTGCTGCCAACCCTGCCAAATGCAATGAAAACACTGGAAATGATTTGCCAGGGTGTCTCTGGGCAAGTAAAAATGCTGATGCTTTGTTCATAGGAAGAAAATCATTTGGAGTAAATAAAGAAACTAAATTAGCCTTGACAGCATCATAATCCAACTGATGCGTGCCCATAGCACTCAAGGAATGTTACGCATCTCTTAACAGAAATGAGCGCAACTCCACCAACCACAAGTCACTATTACCTAGCTTCGGGCTGTAGGTATGAGATGCGTATGCTTTGTAAGTACAGAAGAAGTCGTCAATTGTCATCGTCTTCACTGCTGGGTCGAAGGGCTGAGGTGGAGGAATGACGTGGTGATTCAAGTTTCCGAGCGCAACAGTTAGTTCTTCAATTACATATTGCATATCTCTTGCATGAACACCACTAGAAGCACTACTGACACTTTCATGACTAGCAATAGACATGTTCAAGGTACACAAATGGTTCAAAATATTGTGTTTGTGTATAAAATCTTTTACACAAACACAATAAAATAGTTTATTTGAAATCACTCAGTAAACGTGGTAACGGGAACAGTGAAAATTCCTACTAAAATCACTATTATACAAGACCTTTGATTCTATTGACTATTGCACAGCATTAATGCACGTAGTTCAGGAAGCATTAATCCGCATGGCAAAACAACAGCATGGATCAATGGTTTTAGTCAGCACGACTCAACTAGTTAGCAAAACTACTTAAACTAGACTGACAAACTAAGTCAGACATCAGCTACTGGCTAGTCTGCCTTCGTAGCACCGGGCTGACTGCTCAGGGTCACGGTATGCTAACAACTGTCTAACATGACTCCAGCAATTGCTGATCTTGGCTAACTACATCTTGTTCAGTAGCTTATAGGTTCACCTGTCATGCGTAATGCACAATTACTTGACGTGTGCAATCTCTTACATTTTGTGAACTATAATAATGGTTTAGCAGATAGCACATGAAAAACGTAACACGTGAATATTAAAAGCGAGTATTTTTTGGCAATGACAGTTTCCTGTCATTTACAAGTCTATCTTCTGACAAGTATTGTTTCTAAAGCAAAGATATATAAAGCCAATATCTTTCATTTGGACATTCTTATTTTCTTATTTTGATTGCCTCTAAACTCAAATTTCTTATTTTAATTGCCTCTAAACTTGGGTAATTTTAACAAATTAGCATCAAACACTAATGATCAGAAGTATGAGATTTTAAGGTGAAGTAAAATATATAATTATACTGTTTTAAATAGCCTGTTAAATTAAAAATGTTCCTAGGGACCTAGTTCCTATGGTGAAAACTTTAAAACATTTACTCTGCGTTATGTTAATTTCAATATCCTAATTATAATACTTGAAATTTCAGTTGTAGATCTGCTAGCTGCCAATATAGTTGGAAATGAGTGAAGAGAATGATTATGTTGTACGCATGCGAGGCTTGCCTTGGTCTTCAACTGAGGATGACNTAAAAGATCATTAACTTAGCTGATAAAGTTATAAATATCATCATCAAATTTTAATGCTTAAATTATCTTCCTGCAATGTTCATTCTATTTGCCTTGTAGTGCCACATTGAGTCACAATTGTTATCATACCATCCTTATAATTGTAACCTCATAGTGATGCTTATTTCTCAGCCAGTTTCTGACATCTCTTAAGTTGATAAGTAAAGCTATATTATAAGATTTGAATTTTAGTTTTACACTCATGGTCAAATTATTTTCCAGTACAATAAATTCAAATTTTATAGTGTTATTGAAAGGAGCTTGCAAGTTTTGTATCATGTTTATTGAATTATTGACTTGTTAAGAATTATTCACCCTTTTGATTGTGTGTTTTGTCTGTTCTCTTTTCTTTTGGGTGGTTGGGTTGGGTGTGGGCTGTTACACGCACTTCTGGGGTTCACAATCTAGGGCTTAAAATAATTCCCAACGGCATTGCCATGGTCTCGGACTTCCAAGGCCGGTCAACGGGAGAGGCTTTTGTCCAGTTTGTGAGCAAAAAAAATGCTGAGAAGGCCCTTGAGCGTCATAAAGAAAAAATTGGTCACAGGTGGGAGTTCAGTTTAAAGTAACTAATGGCCACTTCAACCAAGATAATATAATGAATGGTCACATGTCTTTTGTTAATTCTTGATTAAATTCTTCTTTGAGGGCTGATCACTCTTACTTCAAAATTTCTTTCAATCTTAATTTAAAAATAATAAACAACAAATTGAAGTAAATTTCTTATCAGTTATTTAAAGAGAAAAAGGCTGGCTATTTTTGTATGAAAAAAGAACATGGACTGGAAAAGATTGGTGGGGGAGGTGGTGTGGGAACAGGTGGGGCAGAGGAAAGTGGGCAGCAGTGGGCCATCACTCGGGTGGGCTGGCTCGCATCTGGGAGGATTGGGCGCTACTGCGGGCTTGTGGGCTGCTGGTGGATCAGCTGGTGGGCTTCTAATGGACCAGCTGGTGGGCTTCTAATGGACCAGCTGGTGGGCTTCTAATGGACCAGCTGGTGGGCTTCTAATGGACCAGCTGGTGGGCTGTGGTGGGGCAAGTGGCAGCCGAGAGGTGGTGGGTTAGTGGTGGGTGGCTGCTCTTCAAGCCGCTTGTGTTTGGCTGCTCAGTGACTGCGCACAACCTTGCTTAAATCCTGCCAAATGAAAGTTGTTTGATAAAGCCTTATATTTAAGAGTACATTTTAAAATTCAGTATTAAACTTCAAGTTTTATATATATTCACTACTCAAAGGACATGTATTTTTTTAAAACATTGGTATTTTGCATTTAATTACCTGATACAGACATTTTATGATAGTACTCAATTAATTTGTATATTTAGACTTCAAAGATCAAACTTAATAAGACCATGAATGCCCCAGGACTGAGCAGCCAAATATTAGGACTTGAGATTGAGGTGAGTCATTAACTAGATTAAGCTTCATTATTCAAGTTGCTGAGTGTTCTTAAAATTTCATCCAATATTGCTAAGCTAAATTCTTGGTGAGTTTTTTCTTGAAAAACTGGCCTGAACTGCAGGATTTTATTACTGGTTACACAAGACACAGGTTTATTAAGAAAGTATTGAATGACTGGTGTGGATCAATCCACACAAGTCCATGGTATTTTTGATGAATTTGATGAAATCAGTTCCATAAAATCACACCTCCCATCATGACTACCAATATCTTACCCTGTATTGATAGCCTCATTTGCTTGTGATGTAAAACACCATGACTCTCGTGTAGCTTTTCACGTAGCAAATTAATGGCAGTTTACTGGGTCTGGTAATTTAGAAATTACTTGCCTCACATTCAAATGAGATTTAATCTCTCCATGAACAGGATTTTGGATACTTACCATCACTGCTCAACATACCATGGAACTAACAAGAATTTTGAAGCATTATAAACACTGTGACGCCACAGAAGGAAACATTTAGTTTATATTTTCTCTATTGATAGATTATATGTTTTTAAATGCCAATGATTTTCATGTCTGGAGGCATGGGGCCATACTATTTAAATTGTCACGAATTTTTAACACTGTCAGCCACTCACTGACAGCTTTTCAAGCTCAACCCAGCAATTACAGATGTGAAATGATTAATGATTGTACTTAGTAAAGTTTATATACTACGGCCCCTGGCAGCAAGACCTACCATCTTTAAACAATATTGTAACCATGTGTTCCTTCACTAGGTACATCGAGATCTTCCCCAGCACCACCGAGCAGATCCGCATTGCTATGAATGAGCCCCGTGGTGGGGGCATGCGGGGTGGCAGTGGGCCTTTCATTGGCCCCAGGGGCCCTGGTAACTTCAATGATGATGGCCCCAACTTCAATATGAACTTCAATGATGGCTGTGGGATTGGACCCATGGGAGGAGGTTTGCATTTCCTTCATTATGTGCTCTAATTTTCCTTAATACTTGGATTCATATTGTATTTATGCTTACTGTAATATTTTTAAAATTGTTACTCCCATCTTTATATCAATGTTTACAGTTATATTGTTCTAATACTTCAATACAGCCCTGTTTTATGCATACATTCAGCCATGTATTTATACTCAAACTCTTTTTATATCAATTTATTTAATTCTGGCATCAATACTTACCAATATCTCCTATAGGACATTTAAGATATTTGTTATTGTCTGTGAGCTTGAAGCCTGGTGCTGCAATATATAGAACCTGTCTGGGCGTATTCAGATTGCAGGATACTTATCGTGTCGGGATATTGTATATAGAGGCTGTTGGGGCGCGTATCCAGGATACTTATCGTGTCGGGATATTGTATATAGGGGCTGTTGGGGCGCGTATCCAGGATACTTATTTGTGCTGAATATTACTAATCTTGACCTGAATTTTTTTTCATAGTTAGAAAACTTTCATCGTCATTGGATAACTGAGAAAAAGATTGGTTCTAAAATTAAAATTTAATTTTTATATTGGCACAAGTTGTTGATTTCACATGTTGTGTGTGCAGGAAGTTTCAACAACCGTATGATGCCCTACGACGCCCGCGACCGGCTGGGAGGCGCCAACAGATTCAACAGAGGTGAGTTGACTTCTGTGAAATGGGCAAGTGAAACCAGGTAAAAATTGTTGAACAATGAACTGTGTGAATGATCTTGAACTGTACATGGAATGTCCGGAAGCAGAGTTTTGAAACAACTAAAAATGAACTGAAACAATGCAGCAATTTTGTGACTCAATTCAAATTGAGTCTTGAATGTTGCATGCCAATGGCTTCCATGATTGCAGAAAATATTCTTGTCTTGTATCTGCAAAGAGATGTTTTTGGTGCTCATAAAAGATAAGGCATTATACATGATTTTCTTCAGGATATTACTCTGTGAGGTGGTGGAAACTTGCCAGCTCCTCTGCTCGCGAAATCTTCATTTTTTTATTCCATTTTACGTGTTGCATTTGCATTCATTTTGTGCTGTTAGGTAGAATTTGTATGAAAATTTGTTCAAATCGAGAGGGACCTGCTTATAAAGGCTGTGCAAAGAGAATTGATGTAGAGATTGAATTTGAAGAAACACTTGTTAAATCAGAACTTAATCCCCATTTCATGTGTGTAGTAACCTGAGCTTTTACTGTGGTAAATGTCTGCCTGTATGTTTAGATGCATATGGTAAATCTTGAATTTTTGTTCAGGATTCAACAACAATTTCAACAATATGGGCGGCGGTGGTGGCGGGTTTGGCGGTGGACTAGGCGGTCGAGGTGGCAATGATGGAGGCGGCATGAGGGTCAGTTCTTTTCAACGGCATTTTTTTATTCATCATTCACTTGAGTGAACGCATAATCAATCATGTTTACCCAATTCTAGAACCTCGTATTTAAGTGTCAGTTTTCGTGTTGGAATTTGAAGTGTTTGGAAATGGCCCCTTAGTTACTATACTACTAGCAAAAAAGCTGTCGGTTGTGAACAAGCGTCTCATAGCTTGAATGCTGATTATATATGATCACGGAAGCTTGTTCAATTTCAGATGAAGTGCTGTGTCATCACGGCAGTCACAGTCAGTAGTATTGGTGAGCGATTCTCAGCCACAGGTATTATTATGAATTATTCTCTCAGATGAGAGAATAATTCATGTAGGGCAACATTTGTGAAACCTTCCAGTGAGTGATATTAGAAATGTAGGAGCCTCTATTTCTATCCATGACGATTGTCAAGTCCTGCCAACAATCAAATGAAGCTAGCCCTCTGGAGCATTAAGAACGTGATTGGAATATTCAAATACAGTGTCCAGTTTAGGTTGTATTACATTTTTGAGGAGCAGTGACTGGCAGGATATGCCATGCAGTGTCCAGCTCGGTGGTAAGTTATTTTTGCCTGCGTTGATTGGATGTCTAACTCATGTAGTGTCCAGCTTGGTGGTAAGTTATTTTTGCCTGCGTTGATTGGATGTCTAACTCATGCAGTGTCCAGCTTGGTGGTAAGTTATTTTTGCCTGCGTTGATTGGATGTCTAACTCATGCAGTGTCCAGTTCAGGCTTTATTTCCTTCAGCTGCCATAAACTCTGGTGATTTACAGGGAAGCAACAAGCCGCGGTTCCCGACACACAGCGTCCACATGCGGGGCCTGCCCTTCAAAGCCACCGACTACGACGTCATGGATGTGAGTCCTGCCGTTATGGTCTTGCCCTTTAATTAAATCATTCGCTTCACTGCTGTCTTGATATAATTGCAGTTAAAGTGTTTAACATACGACAAGGGCTTTACAAACAACAAATACAAAATACGCGGTCACTGCAGTCTGGAATTGCTCTAATTTTTATATTCATCTAGTTTTAGTTAAGTGCCTTGACAATGGCGATATCATTCAAACAGATTGTAAATATAAGCTTGGTTATCCCGTGCCGTTTTGTCAGCTCATTTGCCTGGAAGAAAGCTTAACTTTTTTGTTAAAAAAGTGATTGCAATGAAATCTGCTCGCAAGTTATCCTATATGTTAGTTTTAATTTAATTAACCTTGTACGTGGATAGTCATAAAGTTGATAATTTTTAGGTATTACAAATAGTGCCTTAAAAAATAAGTTTATAAAGCACAAATTAAGTTTATTTAACTGTAATTGAATCACGCCAATAGCTTCCATGATTGGCGTGATTCACTGCATGATTGGCGTGATAATCTCTTCACTGCACCATACATACGAGTACAATCTGTATGAAGCCACTCTCTGAAATGATGAAATATCAGCATATGTCCATAAATATAAGTTCAATTCTTGTTTTAAATCTCTACCCACCAAAGAAGGACTCAAACTTCTCGTTTGTGTGGAGTCGCTGTTTCTCGTACTGCTTATTTTCAGTACGAGCTTCAGCCAGAGCTATTTTCCGTTAGAAGTTCTTGCACGGATTAGTTAATGTGAGGTCACTATTGCCTTTGGCACGACTCACTTGATTTGCAGCTGAAATAAAGTGAGATAAAAAGAAGTTACCTAACTTTTGGCTATTGATTCTTATGCTGTGGAAGAGTTGCTGATTTAGCAACTTTGATCAAACTCACAGTCCTTGTCTGGGCCATTGGAAATGATGAATATTAACTCTGTTATCGATACCATCAAGTGTGAAAACCCATGACAATGCTTTTAGTATTCTCCAAATTTCAAGTCTTGAGACATGATTATGCAGAGTCCTGATCTCGGACAACAAGGTGCAAGATATTTCTTTATCATGAGGTATTTTCTGCAGTTCTTCAAGCCTCTGGAGACGGTGAACATAACCTTCGTACAAGACAACAATGGGCGCGCGTCTGGCGAAGCTGACGTCGAGTTTGCCACCCACAGCGACGCTCTTAAGGCCATGGGCAAGGTAAGCATTCTGTCCTTATCCCTGGCTAAGGTGAGCATTCTGTCCTTATCTCTGGCTAAGGCGAACATTCTGTCCTTATCTCTGGCTAAGGTAAGCATTCTGTCCTTATCTCTGGCTAAGGTAAGCATTCTGCCCTTATCTCTGGCTAAGGCGAACATTCTGTCCTTATCTCTGGCTAAGGTGAGCATTCTGTCCTTATCTCTGGCTAAGGTGAGCATTCTGTTCTTATCTCTGGCTAAGGTGAGCATTCTCTCCTTATCCCTAGTTAAGGTGATCATTTAGCACTTCTCTGGCTGTAGATAAGATAAGCATCGTGTTTTTGTGATTGTTCAACCCGTTGTGTAGCGTCAATGTTATTCTCTTAAAGCCAGGCTACGAGAGTTTCCTCCAGTTAACACAGGGAAGAAGTATCGACATTTGAGACTAATTATAACCCCATAGCTTGACATTAAGAGAAATTCAGATAAAGACGATGCACATGAAATGTTTGAGGTTATGGAAGTATGTCGGAAATTGGTATGACCTTTAGTCTTAGTTAGACACTAAAGTACATGTTGACTCAGCGAGTTGCGTGCGACTCTCACTTACCGCCATATAACTTATAAGAAACCATGATTGACTTATTTAATGCAGTTTTAACAACTTGCCATGTTGTCTAGTGAACAGTTTAGTGATAAGTGATATAAATTTCATGTAACTGTGAAAAATTTCCAGGGCTTCCCACTAGGTATCACGAAATGCACGCCTCTGAAGAAGATTAATTTACATCTAATTCTTACCTTGTCTTGTGCAGCACAAAGAACACATGAAGCATCGCTACATTGAGCTCTTCCTTAACTCCTCCCCAGAAGGTGGGCTTTTTTCTTTATTATTAATCCGTCATTTTGATCAATTTGGAATGCAATTCTCAATTGTGCATCGTTTTACATTGATGTACATTTGCATATTGTATATATTGGATTAGAAGGTTCAGTGAATGGTATTCACATGTTATGTTAAATATGCCACAACTTATTTGAGTCTTATTATTTTGCTTAGTCTGCGTTGTACTTAAAGGGCCACCAAGCGAGACTTGCTAGACAAGCTCTCTGCCAGTGCCTACTTGATATTAACTCATTATGATAAAACTAATCCCGTAACACTGAACTAATCCAGCAACAGCGAGGAAAATAAAATTCACTTCTGTGCCAGATTTGTATTTGAGCAAAAATTCTCTTCGCCCATCCGTCACTGCTGCAGAGGCCATCTTCTTTGGCTCCGTGTTAGAAAAAAAAACTTGGAGTTTTTCTTACTTGAATTGCCAAGTACAAGTGCATTTAGTTGTAGTATAAATTAGCATCGATACGACCGTTATAGACACCTCACCACATGCATCAAAGGCGGTAATGCCACGTTGATTGAAATGTTCGCCCAGAGAAGACGTGTTAAAATACTAGTATTAGCCTACCGTATGCGAGCTTCAGGGCTCCTACCCCAGAACGATGCTTTAACAACCCTTTAACTCCCGCGAGTCCTTTGTGTAATATTGTATGTGTGTTGCAGATGATGGATTCAATGACGACATGGGCTCCGGCAACATGGACAACATGAATTGGGGTCAAGGGGGCAACATGAACTGGGGGCAAGGCGGAGGAAACGCGAACAACATGGGCTGCATGGATGGCAACATGGGAGGCATGGGTGGAAACATGTGTGGCAACATGGGCGGTAATATGGGAGGAATGGGTGGCAACATGGGAGGAATGGGAGGCAACATGGGCGGAATGGGAGGAAACATGGGCGGAATGGGAGGGAACATGGGAGGAATGGGAGGCAACATGGGCGGAATGGGAGGCAACATGGGCGGAATGGGAGGGAACATGGGAGGAATGGGCGGCAACATGGGTGGTATGGGCGGAATGGGTGGTAACATGGGAGGAATGGGTGGCAACATGGGCGGAATGGGTGGTAACATGGGAGGAATGGGTGGCAACATGGGTGGTATGGGCGGAATGGGTGGTAACATGGGCGGAATGGGAGGCAACATGGGCGGAATGGGAGGTAACATGGGCGGAATGGGAGGGAACATGGGAGGAATGGGCAACAACATGGGTGGTATGGGAGGCAACATGGGCGGAATGGGAGGGAACATGGGTGGTATGGGCGGCTCAGGAGGCGGAATGGGCCGTAGCATGTTAGGTGCCAAGAGTGACACCTTCGTCGGCAAGATAAAACCGACGGGGCGCAATAGCGCCTGGGCCGATGGCGGGGCCTCTCGGAACTTCCGCACGCGGGGCTTCAGCGCCGAAAAAGAGAAACTGCCGGCCAAGTCCTCTTCTATGGATGATCGTGACGGAAACTATTCCTCTGCCTCCTACGCTGCGACCGGCACCGACTACAAGCAAGAGTCTTCATACTCGAACTTCAGTGGGTCGCAGGCTGCCGGGGCTGCGTCCTCTAGCTACTCTGACTACCGAGCAGCTGACGACTACAACGGAGACCAGCAGCAGACGGCGTCAGCTGGCAACTACGAGTATTCTGCTGGCAGTGACCGGAATGCCAGTACTTACAGTGGCAGCTGGAGTAACACTGGGGGAGATTATGCTGGCAATCGTACTGGCATGGCCAATTATTCTTACACCTAATATTTATCTCTCACCCCTTCGAGTGTCGGAAACTTTTAATACACATAATTGTATGTACTAACTACTCCATGCATTTTTGTTGCGTGCTCTCAGTAGTGCTAGTGGGTTTTAAGTATTTTCCACAACCATGGTTATTTTTCTCCATGATGTAACATTTTGTTTTCAGTTTTTCATAATCGATTTTCCCAGGTGTAACGTTCATGTTATATTTGAAGGAGCTTGCGAATGATTTTATTTGGCATTACTGACATCATAGTTCAACCTTGAAAATAGTATCGTTTAAGTGAATGAGTTGTGGGTTATGACAATAGGAAACTTTTTTTTTAATTCTCATAGAATTCAAGTATTCATAAGATATGAATGGTTGAGCTTGCGGATTCGTATTGGTACTCGAGCTCCTTCATTGTTAGTGAATTTCGCACGATGATTAATCACTGTGGTATAGCGCACCTTTCGTGGTTAATGACAATTTCAATAAAAAGTAGCACGAAATCATTATCTCTAATATCCCTTTGTTGCAGCTTGCGATGCCTCCTTCAGAAATTTATTCAGTTACCATTTTGCATTAGCAAAAAAGTACATTCGATGAATTTTTATTACTTGGAGGCGAGGTGAAATTGATGAAATCCGTGACCGATTTTTTCGTTGAAAATGTAAACCGATTAGAAGTAATCTTTGCGTATAAGTATTTTCACTGATTTCTATCTCATTGTTGAAGATGTAAGATGAGAAGGTGGATAAAACAACTTGAGAGAAGCTATGTCAACGGGTGACGATTTATTGACCAGTCATAAGTCATTTCTCAGTAGAGCCTTGGTACAAGTCTCGGAAGTCATTATTGACCGGTCATAAGTCAGTTATCAGTAGAGCCTTGGTACAAGTCTCGGAAGTCAGCGTATCGCTTGAGCCGCGCGGCGGTGACGGAGGGCGCGATGTTCTGCAGCGCCTCGTCCAGGTCGAACGTCTCGCTCAGCCGCACCTCACGACACGCGAGCAGCACCTAGATAGGGAAATGGAGAATTAACTAGAGAAATAGCAAATTTCCTAGGGAAATAGCCAATTTCTTGGTGAAACGGCAAATTACCAAGGAAATAGCAAATTTCCTAGGAAAATAGCCAATTTCCTGGGGAAATAGCAAATTACCTAGGAAATAGCAAATTTCCTAGGAAATAGCAAATTACTAGGAAAATGGGGAGTTTCCAAGGGAAAAAACAAATTTACTGAAGAAATAGCAAATTTCCCAGAGAAATAACAAATTTCCTATGGAAATGGAAAAAAAAAACAAATTAAGCCGTGTCCCGTTCGGGAAGTTTCCGAAAAAGGATCAGTAATTCAACCATTTGTCTACTAACGGTAACTCGTTATTAAAAGCATTCGACACTCTTATGTACACGTAGCGGCCGATTTCTCTTCCGTGATTGATGAGTTTAGTTACTTAAGCCGTCAGTGATTGGCTGATGGGTACAGATGCGAGCTTTTAACATTTTTGATATTATATCCTCTGTAATTCAACTATTTGTGTATTAGCGAATTTCTTGACCAAAAATTCAGAGAGGAATATCATCGATTGTTTACGTTACTGTGGACGAAGGAATTTTAGAGCAGAGAACATTGTTTGGTTGCATTTAAGAGGTTCGGATCAATTACAGACAACCTTAATGAAGAGCCAGACTTCCCTGAACTGGGTGTAAACACAAGAAGAAACGGTACAGTTCATTTAAATAATCTTGCATAGTCTTCAGCCGAACTCAAATTGGGAGAACAAATTTTTTGTCGTGCATCGTCTTGGTCTACTCTAAATCATCAACTGCATGAACATTTTATATCAATGGAATAGACAGAAGTTAAGCTGGACATTGAGTCAAGTTCAATGTTTGCTCAGAGTTAGAAAAACGTTCAACATAGATTAGAGCAACCAAACTTCATTACCTTACGTAGTTAACAGCAATCGACAGTTCTGGCGTTATGGACTACAATTTACTCTCTAAAAATTGTCTATAAGGAATTCTGGGATACTGAACATCTAATTTTTACATTGGTTCATTTTAAGTCAATAAATTATTGTAGAGTCTTGGTTGACTCCGTGACCATCGGGTGAGCGTGCCAATCTATCCATGGAGAAGATCACCGCGATACGAATTCGATCATACAAAACGATGAGTAAATTAGAACAATAAAAACTAATTTTAATATATCAGCAGCTCACTCGGGGAAAATGATTAGCTTAATACAAATAATTTCAGAACCCAATCCTTACTGAATCAAAAACAAAATTACGTCCTCAACCAAATCATAATCCTGCGAATATTTTTATCTGATCC